TGTTAAAGCTTTGTAAATTGGGTGTTCTAAAACTGTTAGAAACTGACTAAAGCCTAAACTTTGGAGTTTTTGCTTTCATCTTTTAGGATGTTTTTGGATCAGTGAGAATGGAGTACTTCACAGTATAAGCAGCTTTAGAGGGTTCGGTAACTTGTTTTAAGGCTATTGAACTGTTTGTTAATAATATGTCCATTGTCTGTGCACAGGTGCACTTTAAGTTGTATCTGGCCTTGTATGTGACCAATATATTTTATAAGATGGATGGACAATACAAACAAAACGAAATGAAAACACATAAAAAAGGAAACTCAAATGCAAATAAGATGTGATTTGGTGTTACCCTCTCAAAATCATGCTATTTTGCATGTACATTGCAAGTACATGTCTTTCAGGTGCTAATGATTGACTGGCTGGGTGCATAGAAATCAGTCTGTGGTTATTGATTATGGCCAATGGGATGTAGCCTTGCTTCTATAGATGACATAGGGTTACAGTCTGTTGCATTGAGCATGATGGCTCCATGCAAGTAAAGGGTTTGGCACTCGGAGGACAAACAGATGATATATTGAGCCTTAGATCATACACGAGGGAACTCAAAACAAGAGATTTACAGGGTATTTTTAGGAAAAAATTAATTTTGCTTGTTTCAAGGCTAGATGGTTGATGCTTCCTCCATGTTACCCTCCTTGTTGGGTGCCAAGTGTGGGTTACATAGGAGGCCTACCCCGGGGTGGGTTCTTCTGGGCTACGCTAGGCTTCCTCCATGTTCCCCTCCTCGTTGGGTGCCAAGTGTGGGTTACATAGGAGGCCTACCCCGGGGTGGGTTCTTCTGGGCTACGCTAGGCACCCTATATGGGTCACTCTCCTGCACATGGGGTACCTTTGTTTGAACGGACACATAAACTCTTTTGATGTTAATATACAGCACTAATTCATGCGCTGCATTAAGGAAGGAAATGCAGAGCCTATGCCCTCTGCACCTGTACAGCATATACACTACCTCATTCCCAGTAGCAGAACGGAACCCCGTTGTGCCCCTAACGTGGGCTCCTTACGTGCTCTCACTTAACTCTTGATCGTCTGCAGTGCTGATCTGCTCCAGTTGCTACTGGATATGGATCACTCTTGAAAGAGTGCTGACAACATCTCCCTCTCTGCGGGAGGCTATCCCACCTGACACAGGCACACACTTATGACAGCCTGCTTGGCTGACTGTTAGCTTCTGTTACCCCTTGTAACCACTTTCTGTCTTCATACTCCAGAGTGCTGTTTACCAAGAGCTTTAAACTATGTGTGGTGCCAGTTACTTACTTTACACTCCTTTAATATCTTCAGACCTTTCAGAATGCAAGGGAAATATTTCAACATTTACAAAGTACACAGAAACACTTTTTTCCCTACATCCCTAAACCCTATTTCAGGCTTGTGTGCTACCCTGGCATACCTACAAAGTCAAATTGCATATGTGTGTCAAGGTCCTACCTTTTCCCAGAGGTTATGCTGCTCTATGTGCTGGCATCCATCTTGGGTTTCTGCAAAGCATGGTGGGAGCCTTTTATGCTTTCAGGCCTCTGTGGTCCATCCTACAGAGGGGTGGGGTTGAGCACATTTAAGCCTGTTGTCTGCACTTGCTATTTGCATTCGTGTCCTGTATGTTTGTGTTGTTGCAAGCTCTTGTTCTACTTTCGTGGCTCTCCTGGAAACTGACTTGGCTTTGTCTAAGACTATTCTCAGCCTTATCCCTTTATCTGACCTCCCGTTGCTGAACCCAGCTTGTGACCTGTGTATTCTTGTCTACCGTTCTGTACTGTCTGTCCCGCTGTTATCGACCCGGCCTGTCCGACTACACTATCGTTCTTATCTGGTTCCTATCAGCTAGACACCATTGGTGGTGGCCATTACCACAGCTGGGGTTTCTCGGGGGCCGCGACCTAGTCCCTGGCTGTGTCAAGTCCATCCCCACCATCAGGGGTCCTGGTGAAGGGCAGCCTGGGGCTTAGACTCCGCACCCTGAGGAACTCCGGTCTGTGGGTGGTGGTTGTCGTCAGTTGGTGCGTGACCCTGCCATTAGGCCTGCCTGTCCATTCCACAGCTCCTGCCCTGACAATGTGGCAGTGTCCATTTTTTGCAGAATCCAGCAGCTGGCATCTTCAGGGTGGACTATAGTTTGCATTAGTCTCCCTACATGGCTGGAGGCTCCCAGAGGCAGGTGATCCTGGATATGAACCCCTGAAACAGTGACAACATAGGACCCCAATGGTGATAGCAGCAGAGGAACTCTCTGGGCTCTGGACCACTGTCCTTATATATCATCTCAAGACCAGTGGGTCAGACCCAAAACCCCAAAAGCCCACCAAGGGAAAACCCAAGAACAGAGTTAACCCTGACCCACCCGTCCTGGGCAGCACCTATCTAGGCTAAATTACAACCTGCGTACAAGCTACTATTGTGAAAGTTGAGCATTGAACTTGGAGCATTGTGCTGCCTAACTTGCACTAGGACTCTACATATTATTGTTTTTTTGTGTGTTCATGCCTATAAAGTCATAGAACATGTGGTATGTGACAATGTAGCACTGCAGATCAAGGCTCTGGTACCACATTTCTTAAAGTAAATATGACCCTGAAAAAATTTACAAATAAGGTTTTGTTTGCATAGCACAAGCAAGGCCATATTTAGACATCGTGTTGTTATTATTTTCCCAAAAAATTAGAAATGGCCCTCCCAAACAGGATATTGAGCTAAACCTGTAGGTAAATAGGAGAACCAGAACCTTCACAAAGTGGAATAGTGGGCCTTTATTCAAGATTTCAATGTCCCAGAATAGGCAAACATGTCTGGCATGGCTTCTGGTCCACCTCCTATGGATTTTATCAGCCACATTTCAGAAAAGGCCACTTGATCTTTAACTATTGCAGCCATAGAACACAGAGCCCCAACACCAAGACCAGGGAGATCTTCCCATCTACTGTTTTCAGTGCCAGAAGCCAATCCTCAACATCTAGATAGAGCATCAGCTCCAATATTCCTTGGGCCAGGTTTGTACTTCAGAATGAATTGATAATTAGATAAAGAAGCCAGCCAGTGATGTTATGGGCATTCAGTTTGGCTGTGGTTAGGACATACATGAAAGGATTATTATCAATTCTTACTACATAGCTCATTACGGATAATCATACAGATAATCATGTAACTTATTAACGCTGGCCTATTGACCATAACTTAAAGCTTGGGTTGTTGTACTCACTAGAAGTGTGGGTACGGCTAAAGAAGAGTATTGGTCATAGCCCAGCTGGATACTCTTGGTGCATATCTACATCCAATTCTGCAAAGCTAACATCCACATGTAGCACATATGGCTTCTGGGCATCAGCATAAGACTGGAGCTTCTGTCAGGTTCTTCTTCAGTTGAGTAAAAGCATTTTCACATGAAGAAGTCCAGAGATCCCCAAAAGGATTTTTGGAAGACCTCCTTCGATTTCCTTGACTGCACACTTTAGCTACTTTTGAATACCCTTCTACAAACCTGAGGTAGTATCTGCAAAATCCAAAGAACGAACATAACTCTGTATCATTCTGAGGCTGAGGCCAGTTCACCACTGCTTTGCCTTCGGCTGGATCAGTGGCCACTCCTTCAGCAGAGACGATGAGACCCAGATAGGTGACCGATGACCTGCAGAACTTGCATTTGTCTGCTGACAATTTCATTCCTCTTCTTTTAGACAATGTAATACCAGCATGTGAGGCAAGAAAGTAAATTGATAGAAGCCCAAAGGAGCTTCAGGGGCCATTGAATTCTGTAGGTCTAGCTCAGTGAACCAACAATTTCCAATTAAAGCCTCTAGAGCTACTTTCCTTTCTGGGCAGTGTATACTGATCAAAGATTGTCCTCCAATTCAGAGTTCTGTAATTTACACATAGGTGGATGGATCAGCATTTCCTTCTCACTGTCACAATGGGGGAGGCATAAGGACCCTTACTATCCATGATGATCAAATACCACTGTGCAAACCTATAATCGTCTCCCACAAAGAGTATTATCCCAGCTGCTGAAATCCTTCTTTCCCCAAAAATGTCTCAAAATGATAATCCTTATTCCCACCGCTAGAATATCCACATGTGCAAAGTTCCTTAATCAACAATCCTCTTCAAGTGGTCTTCTCGCCAATCTCTTAAATTCTCACCAGATAGTAAGACCCGTCTTGTAAAATGGGTTGAATCAAATCACATTTGAACAATTTCTTTCCCAAGTAAACAACAAATTTGGCAAATTGCCTAAAATACTCTAAACAGATAATGGCGCCACGTACACAAGTGGTGAAACACAAGCCATGTTAAGGAAGCAAGAATTGTATTTCAGACTACTGTACCATACCATACCATCCAGAATAAATGGTGTTGCAGAGAGAATGAACCATATATATATATATATATATATATATATATATATATATAAAAGCTCCATAAGTGTGCTTTCTCATGTGGATATACTGTACCAACAGCATGCCAGGGAGTGGCAATTAAAACAACCTGCTATATCCAAAACCTCTTAAGAGGAAAGGCAACAGAGAAAACTTCATATGAGCTATGGACTGGAAAAAAGCCTGACCACAAAATGAGAACTTTGAGTTAAGGAATCATATTTGTCAGCTACAGTGTGTCTCAAAAGAGTTACAGAATTCTGCACTGTCTGAACAACAACCTGAGCAAGAAGCCCCACCAGTACTACAGGAAAATGAATAGGACATTGTTGAAATTTAAATTGGTGTCAGTGATTTATCATATGAAAAGTAAAGCTGAGTCACTTGCAACCTCAGTCAGAAAATCTGTGAGATCCAATAATGGCATTCCAGCTAGAAATTTATGGTTTCATTCAGCATCACAGTCTGAGTCATCATCATGGGAATAAATGCAAAAGTATGTTCATGAGAAGTACGTATGGATTAAAGCTGCAGATGAAAAGGTATCTTCTCTCAGCCAGCTCCAAGCTAAAATACGAAGGTACTGTATAACTACACCAATTGAAATGTCTTATCTAACACTGAAAGGAGAAGAGGACCTAACAACCAGGGGCGGAGTGATAACTCATGGAGCCCCGGGAAATAGGGGATCATGGGGCCCCTGTGTCCTTGCCCACACAAAGCACACCAGAAAAAGCCTATTTAGGTAACAGGGGCATTTCATGGGGCAGTTAGTAAAAAATAAGTTTAGAGGTTCAAATATAAATTACTGTATCACCCAATATATGGCTTCCATCCAGTAGCCAAAAAATATGCAGACCAACAAAGAAATTTGTGAAAAGAGATTCACAGGAAAGTGGCTACATTATGGACAGAATGCGATACTCAGAAAAATTTCCAAAAAATTATGCTTTATTACACATTAATAATTGGCAATCGCCTTGGTTTACCATCACCTCAGTATGAGACAATACACACAGACCTAAAACCATTTAAAATCACACCAAGACCGGTCTGGATATATATGCGCTGCAAAGGCTGTGACAACCATAGTCTATAGCATTTGCAGCACCACACATTGGTTACACTCCCTGTAGGAGGTATTTTCAAAAAATTGTACCATAGGTATATATTATCACATGCTATGCATATAAGCAAATACAGTTACCACGTGGAGAGAAACATAACCCTGAGCCTATACAAGGCAATGTGGGTAAAAAATCGAATGAAAAAAGGGGGAGGATAAACCCCAGTAATGTACTTATGGATTCATGCAGTATAACCCTGTATTTTTCTCTGAAAAATTGTAAGTAAATCCCAGTAAAAGGATGGAATTGCTATAACATATCCTAACTCAAGCTTGAAGAACTTCTGAAGGGATTTATGAGAAGTATTGAGTGTGGGTGTTAGCACACTGTTTGCATGCTGTTTATACACACATACTCTAGGTGCAACAACCATTCTTTTATAATATACTGTGAATAGTGGCTCTGCCATTACGTGGTAGTATGTTTTTTAATATTTGGATAATGTGATGTTTCTTCCTCCTAGTGGAACTGCTTATTTATGATGTAATTACCTGTCTCTGTGTTCATGTTGTTTTCCCCATAAAACTAGGACTCATCCATACGGCTATCACCATCTTTACTGATAAGAGTCATACCTACAGCAGTTTTACAGCAATATAACTGCAGACTTCGTAGTTAAAGAACAAGTTCCATTTAGTTCCTATGTGTTATTGGAATTTGGTCATCTCCATTGCCCGTCGTACTGTCCCTTGTACTGTCTTATTTAATAGGCTCAGTTTTAGTTACTTACATGAAAAAAATGTATGCAGCTGCTTTAAAATACTCCAATAAAGTGTACTGAAAAATAAGTTTATTCATTTTACCTTCACTCTTTTCTTTAAGCCAGCTATTAATGTGTTCCATTGCATCCCTTGGTGCATTTTTGAATTCAACTTTCTCTGGCTTGGAGTTGTACCACACATTGGAATTCATAAAAGCCTTGGAAGAGAAAATAAAACAGTAAACATCTAAAACAGCAAATATCTGTATTTTGCCAGCCTTGGAGGAGATTTACTAAAACTGGAGCATTCATAATCTGATGCAGCTGTGAATGGTAACCAATCAGCTTCTAACTACACCTTGCTCAGATTAACTTTGACAATAAAACCTGGAAGCTGACTGCACCTGATTTTGCACTCTCCAGTTTTAGTAAATCGCCCTCATTGTGTTGTATGTTTACATTTTTTCTAGTTATTTCAACAAGGGTGTGTAAGGAACTGAATGCTAGATTTTTTTATAAAGACTAAGGTTATGTATATTCAGATGTCTTCATTCAGATACAAAAGCAGCAAAATAGATTAACCTCCCTGACGGTATTCCCGAGTGTAGCTCGGGGTAAAGTTTCAGCACCACAAGCGGTAACCCCGAGCTACACTTGGGAATACCATACAGCACTACTTACCTTGTCCTGCGCTCCCGCAATGTCCCTCCTGCAGTGTCCCAGGCAATGTCCTCCGGCGGATGCCGGCATCTATGTTCTGGGTTCCGTTCCCTGCGACTTTGGGACATACGGGGACGAAACGGCGGGAAATTTGAAAGTTGTAAAAGTGACATTCACTAAAATCACATAGTAAAACATTCCTGTATCAAACCATTTCACATACATTTTGTCCCGAGTGCTTTGTCCTGTGCCCTGCCTGCATTTTTACTGTTCTTTCTGCCTGGAAACTGAGATATGTCCATGGCGTCCAAAAAGCGTCCCTTTAGGTCAAAAGCGGTTTTAGATCAGCTAGAGAACAGCGATAGTAAATCAGAACCATATAGGAAGAATAGTAAAAGCGCCTTTAATATAAAAAAGGACAAGCCGCTAAGCACAAAAAGGTAACCAATATCACCTTAAAAACAATAATATATATATAAAAAAAGTGCAGCGCTATGGTATCAAAATTATTAAGTCAATGTAGTAAATATATGTAAAATGATCCTATATGGATCTCCTTATATATAAAAAGTTCAAACAGTAAAAGTGGACCAAGATCAATGATGTGTAAATCATATAATATTTAGGTGCTCAGGTGACACAGGAGTCCGGTAACCGTGTGGTAATGATAAGCAATGCGCACTCACCAGACGCGCATAATAATTGCGCTTTTGTGTGTAAAAAATCTGGATGTCATCTGGTAATGGGTGATCTCTCCTCTGTAAGTTATGAGGCTGGAAATGGGTGGGTCCTTTCTCCGTGGGGGTTGCCCTGTGTACTCCTGGTGGATGGTGTCCCTCTGGGAAAGCAGGGTTCCACTGTGTTATTGCATCTTCTGACACCAATGCTGGGGGCTAGTATTGCACTCACCTGCACCAGTTCTGAGGGTTATTACTGCATACACACTGACACCAATGTTGAGAGATATTGCTGCATCCACTGACATCAATGCTGTGGTTTTTATTGTATACACTAATACCAATGCTGGGGGTTATTATTGCATCCACGGACACCAGTACTGGGGGATATGGCTTTCACTGACACCAATGCTAGGGGCTATAGGAAGAAGGGTCAGCTGCACACTGGAGGATAGATGAATATAGTGTGTATTTATTAATTCATAGGACACACAAAACACCAGGACATGAATACAGGGCCTGGTAACGCGTTTCACACAATCGCGTGCTTAATCATAACAAAGAAAACAACAAAAGTGCTGTCTTATATAGGTATTAATTAATAAAGAACACCTGTCCTTATCAGCACTCCTGAATCCTGAGGATACACCTACTAATACATTGCAACAAAACAAATAAAACCATTGTATCAAAAATAGTGATCTCAGAGAACAACAAGAAAGGAGGAAAAGGAAAGTGAAGTGGAATAAAAGGAGAAACAAAGAAAAAGAAAAATGGATAAAAATAATTATGAACAAATTATAAATGAAAAATAGAATGACATACACAAACACAGATAAAAGTGAGTAAATATCCCAAGAAGATATGGGCTAAGAAGCCACATTTGTAAATAATCAAAATTTCAATAATAATATATGCAAAAAAAAACGCGTACAAAAAACGCAGACAAAAAAATAAACAAAAAGCATGTGTACTTGGGATAAAATACAGAAAAAAAATCACAGTAAATCACAAAAAAAACATACATATTCAGACAGCAGTTTTGATATTTTCTGGTCTGAGTATGTATGGGTTTTTTTGTGATTTTCTGTGATTTCTTAGCCCATATCTTCTTGGGGTATTTATTCGCTTTTATCTGTGTTTGTGTATGTTATTCTATTTTTCATTTATCATTTTTTCATAATTATTTTTATCCATTCTTTTTCTCTCTTTGTTTCTCCTTTTATTCCACTTCACTTTCCTTTTTCTTTTCCTCCTTTCTTGTTGTTCTCTGAGATCACTATTTTTGATACAATGGTTTTATTTGTTTTGTTACAATGTATTAGTAGGCATAACCTCAGGATTCAGGAGTGCTGATTAGGACATGTTCTTTATTAACTAATACCTATATAAGACAGCACTTTTGTTGTTTTCTTTGTCATGATTAAGCACGAGATCCTGTGAAACGCTTTAACAGGTCCTATATTCATGTCCTGGTGTTTTGTGTGTCCTATGGATCAATAAATATACACTATATTCATCTATCCTCCGGTGTGCGGCTGACCCTTCTTCATATTGCATCATGTGTGGTGGCGAGCCAGGGCCTGCACCTGTTGTGGATTGATCTGGATTGTTTGCCTGAGCGGTATACCTTTGTTCTTTGGATTCAATGCAAGGGGCTATTATTGTATTCACTGACACCAACGCTGGGAACTATTAATGTATCCATTGACACCAGTGCTGGAGGCTATAAAATGTCTTCACTGATATCATTGCTGTGGGTTACGATTGCATCCACTGACACCAATGCTGGAGGTATTATTGCATCCACTGACACCAATGCTGGGGGATAGTATTGCGTCCACTGGAACCAATGTTGGGGGTTAATATTGCATCCACTGACACCAATTTAGGGGTTATTATTGCATCCACTGATACCAATGCTGGGAGTTATTATGGCATCTACTGACACTAATATTGGGGTTATTGTACCCCACCTTCTTCAATGTGCATTGTAATACTCAGCAAAAAAAGGAAAAACTAGTTTTAGGCATTGAGGTGCGAAAATATGCTGTTAATGTGCGGCCCTCTGGAGGTGTCAGGGGGCCTCACTTACATTAACTACACTGATCTAAAAGGTAACAAATATTTATTTATGCATTTATTTTTAGATATACTGTGTGAATAGGAACACATGACAAACATATAGTGGAGTTTTCTCAAATTTGACTACAATAGTGGAAATGCACTTTAAACTCTTGCCTCCCCATTGCTGATAAACATGCTGCATACTGTCTGCTGCCACTGGTGGGAGGGTGCTGGGAGAGGGTGAGGTTGATGTCGTGGCTCAGCGGATTCAGCCCCATTGTGGATCCTCTCAGCTGACACAGCGTATGAAGCTGTACTGCTACATGACTGCTCTGAAGAAGTGAAAAAAAACGGTATGTACGCTTTGGTTTATTGCAAACTGT